CGTACCATTGACGTAACGCACTGGCAATATGCAATATTTATCACTGAACTATCTCGCGTATCTATCTGGATCAAAACTTGAATACAGTTATTCTCTACTATGCGCTCCTATTTGTGGCACGAAAATATAATTTAATATAATTTAGAAACTCGATGAAAGCCATCAATAAAGGGTAGGTTCTTTCCCGAACGCCGAGACGAGCGCGACTTCCGCTTCTTGAAAGCGGAAAGAACGACGGCGGGGAGAAAAAAAAACTTGCGCCACGCTCCACTTTCTGAAAGTCTATCAATTAGAGCTATTGTGTTAGCGTGAAGGCAGTCAACTTTACGTGGAAAAAAAAAAAAACGCACTACTACCGTCTCGTGCATAATGCACAGTTAGTGCATTAAATACTAAAATTAAGTCTTATTATACAAATTTCCTTTTAGAACTAAAATGCACTTTCCATGCATCTCTTTAACATAGTGAGAATATTTTCGTTTCGACCAGTCGTCCTTGTTCGATATCGTCTGCGACATCTTACGTTTGCGTTCTTTTATTATATAATTTTTCGTTTGTAACATCGTAACTTTTCCCAAACAAAAACACATTAATTCTACATCAACCAATCAAAAAAAGATCTTAAACTTAAAATGAAGAATAATATTTGCTCACTTATATGTTTTCTATTTCTGTAATATTCTATAATATTTTACAATTTAAAAGAATATTATTATTATGAAAGTTACAAAATTCTAATGTTTTTTTTTTAATATGCATAAAATCTGATGGGAATAAAAATATTAATAATAAATTCTCTAAATAAAATAATTTATAGTCATGTTAAATTAGATTTAGATAATAAATTAGAATAATTATTAAAAAGCAAGATAATTACAAATATACAAAATAAAAACGATCGTAGAGAACTTTGTGAGTTAAAAACGATTATTTAGGGTAATGTTCTGTGCGCATACTGAAATCACTGTGCGCTGAGAAGAGATAAGCATTTAAAAACACGTGGACTCTCAACCGCAAACGTTACGGAATTAGCGCCATTTTATATTTAAAAATATATTAACCTTGTTAATTTTTCGGGTTAATGAGCTACTTGATAAGTCATTCTTTATCAGTAATGCAAGACGTCAATTGATATATCTATGATTTTTCCAATGTCAGTCGACGAATTGCGAGATTTCTGAAGAAATGACATTTTCCTCGAGCATTTCTCAATTGTAAGATAACAAGGGCAAAGCAATTTTATCATTTGTCATAAAAATAGTCACGGTACCTTGTTTCATTTCGCTCGACAATTCTCAAAAGGACGAAGGCCGTTGCGATTTTCTTCAAGGATGCAAAACTGGTATCAGGGTTACATGTTCACCGCCGAGCGGGGGTTGTTCTTTTTTTTTCCACCATGCAGGAGAAGAAAGATGAGTGGGAAGAACGAGAAGGGATACACGAGTATTTGTCCGCGTGTCTTCAAGACATTCTGCATGTGGGTTTCCTGGGTGAAGTTGCCGTGAAAACTGAGCCGTGGCACGGAGGCAAAGAGAAAGGCAGCCTCAGAAGTAAGGCCTCCCTCATTGGCAGTTGATACGCGCTGTCCTTTCGTGGGCGTCCCACCTTTTGCCGTTGCAGAGAGAAAGAAGGAGAGACTCGCCGTGAATGCGATCACATTTTGATAAAATATCTATCATATCTTTGAAGGTCACAACGCGTCCAGCTGCGTTAATGTCAAGATTATAAATAATAATCCAGGAAAAGTGTAATAGTGAAAAAAAAAAAAAAACAGTTGTTGTCAGTTTAATGAATAATTGAAAAGCTTTAATTTATTAAATTTCAAATTTCTTTATGATTAAGAACGCTCGAAATTATATGAAAGTATTAATCAGTAAATAGTACGTGAACAATTCTTCTTTTTATATCTGTCTTTTTCTATCATTTTATTTCCCCTTTTCATTTACACGTTTAGTTTATAAAAATTATAAATATTACGCAAACAAAAAATAAATAAATTATTACGTTACTTTAATGTGCCTAACATAATATTTAATCCGACATGTCTGACGATACGATCCTGGCGAAGCCTTCTCAAGTAGAAGAAAGTCTGTCATCGAGTAGCACTTTAGAATTGGTTGAGGCTAAGTGAAAGTATCTACGTGTAGTTACCTTGGTATTCAACTGAGCCAAGCGCTTCATGGCATGTAACCGACATCTGTTGGTGCACAGATTAATCTAAATAAACATTTCCACAATTAAAAAGCTTAAAGAAAATCCGATTAAATATCACAGTATTCTCTTTATTTCAAGATATTTCGACGAGAACTTTTTCGTAAGAAATTTGAACATTTGTTACTTTTTTACTTTTTTTTTTTTTGTCAAATCTACTAAATATTTTAATATTTTTATGCAAAAATACGCAGACATTTTCGTCCTTAAAATATTCTCTGGGATTTCTCAAAATATCGTTCGATACAGCAGGATGTGATAGTTAAGCGTCGTTTAAACGATAATGAGAAAGAATGACGGGTCTTTTCAGAAATTACACGGCTATTAAAGTCGTTGAGCTCTTCGAGTTTTGTAGTTTTAGACAAAGAGCAGTCGTGCAATCGGTTGCGTTATTCATCGTGTAATCCGGTGACACCGTTCGCCAATATCGAGTTGTTATTCCGGCATCTGAATTTCCACATCAGACAAATAATTTTTGCTATAAATCGCGATTGACATACCATGAATTATTTCGTAACATTTGTGCTCAGTCTTTCATTACTATTGAGTAAGTTTCAAAGTTAGTTATATGAAACCTAAGTAAACATTTTCAAAATTTAAAATTATACATTACATATTTTTTATTTACACACAGATGCAACGATGACGAATCAATACACTTTGGGCTATGTTGTAAGGAGCGATTTTTTGAAAAACTTTTTTGAAACTTATCTTTTCACTTACTTTTTTTAAATTGATTTTGAAAATTGTGACTAAATTAAAAAATTACAAATTCTTATGTCGTATGCAGGACAGAAATCGTTTGGAAACCTATGAAGAAGTGTCAAGTGAACAAAGCGATATCGATATTTTCGCCAATCTAACTTTTCGCTTTACCTGCGAGAATATGCCGCCCGGTTTTTACGCCGATGTGGATTACAACTGCAGGGTATTTCACGTATGCGAGGAGTCCGGCAACGAATTCCCGGTGATCTGCGCCAACGATACGGTGTTCGATCAGAAACAACGGATATGCACAGACGAGGAAAACGTCGACTGTCAGCATGCTCACGAATGGTGTGTCTCAATCGATTGAAAATAAGTTTCTCTACAATATAATTAATAATTACTTGTTGCAGGTACTACTTGAACGAATTAACGTATTCCGCAGAGATTGAATCCAGAACAATTACAGAGGAAATCGTGGAAGAAGACGAATCGAAAGTGATTCAAGAGGATGTAGTGCCTTCCGTTTTACCACTCATGATTAACTAGAAATATATTTTTATTCTTCGTTACATTAATATATCCGTGTATTACTTTAGAATGCACATCCGCGTTTTACATTTACATCGTTATAATAATAATGTGCGCAAATCACACTTAACGTGTAAAACAGGTTTTGATAGCATTTCTTTTTTTCTCTACAATTTGATGAAGTTACGGATTTATAATTAATTACACTTCACGCAAAGTTCAGAAATTCCAGAAAGTCCAGAAAGAAATTGCTTTATTTTTAATGCCGATAGAATAAAAATTAACGAATTGCTAATTACTTGTCGTAAGAAAGGTCAGAAAATAATTTAATTTGTAAGATTATAAAATCATGTTATTTTGTTTTTACAGTAGTTCAACGTTCTAGCGATCGCGTGTAGCATGATCTTGACTCCGGTCTCTCTTATGCTCTTATTGCATCCCGGTATATACCTTTTGCCGCATGCAACACGTAAAACTGGCGAAATAAATAAAAGAAAGAAGAAATGCATGAAGAGAAAGAGAAGACCTTCAACGTGATAGTCCAGAATAATCTCAGGTCTATTCCCGACTGTGGGCTTCTCAAGGTTCTTGAAAGTTGTAGCGCCGGTATTTTCGATATCAGTATTGCAATATAGAATTGCGTACAGACTTTTATTATCCATCATTTAATCAAATATATAAATTTTTCATAAGTTTCCTATTAAATTAAATATCTTCAAAATTGTGTTAATCATAAATTATAATACAAATTTTTTTGCAAAAAAAAACCTTATAATTATAATAATATCAAAATACTTATTGCATTAAAAAGTAAATTATTAAAGTTAATTAATTAACAATTATAATTTGGAAGGATAACAGCAGTTACGGTAGACATACTTTATTTATTTTTAATACATATGACATATTTTAAAGAGCCTGTCAGTCTTAAGATCTAACGCTAGCAATTCAATACCTTTCCCGCGATACGGTCGTAGAAGGTATAACTTTTAATGCCGTACTTGTTTTTACGCCTATGTAATCTTTAAGAAGAAAAATATAAAAATATAAAAAGGTGTTACCCACCACCATAAAATCCCATGACAATGAAATAAATATTTCCTGCGAAATGGCGCGTGCTTCATGATTAAATTGCGAGGAATTGTTTCCATAATCATCTACGAAAATACCGTTTCTTCAAATTCTAAATATTATTCTATTCTAACTTTTGAAAATATATTCTATTTTCATGAAGCCCATGTTGCTAAAGTCTAAGTAAAACATATGATGAAATATATCATGAAAGGCAATGCGAACGCATCCATAAAAACTATTATTTAACTTATAGACTGGTTTCCTTTTAAGAAATAATAAATTTTTTTTACGTAAAGAAATGTATGGCCTAAAGAATTATATGACTATCTCAAAACTATTTTACTGAAAGCGACCACGACGATATTAATTAAAAAAAAAAAAAAATTAAAGCTAATCCAATATTTAATCCAATTTGTTTCAGACTTATGTTAGAGAAAAGTCTATAACGGCAGACACGTATAAAAAGATGTGCTTAAGCTCTTAACGCATTTAGCATATGATTTTAATACAATATATCAAAGGGAACGATAAGTCGAAGTTTAATCAAGCGAATCGAAATGCTATTTTCCATGATGATAATATGATCTATGATGATGCGGCCAAGTAATCCCCGGGCCCGTTTTATCATTGTCGTACACATATTTGATCTTCGGATTGTCTGACCCGAACAGATTCTGTCGCAGCATACCGAACATGGCTGACGCGAGGGCCATATTGCTGATCATGCCAGCCATGGTGGCGGCCGCTCTCGCATGAGCCAAGGCCATTTGAATGATGAAACTTATTACGAAACCGATACCAGGCATCAGAGTGGTCATCTTCGTCTTCAACGCTCGTCCAAGATGTATCACCGCGCTCGTGACTTTCCTGGACATAACGTCCTCCCGCAATTGTGGCAACTGAAGTCTCAGTTCCGAGCACGTGTTCTTGGTGGAGAAAGACTCTGTGTCCTTGATCCTATTTTCATTATCCGGATCCTCGAGTTTTTCTGGAATTTCCGACTCTTTTGCTAATTTGCTGTCTGAATACTGGTTCAGCAAATGTCTGAAATCGTTGTCGCTCTTCGCACGATGCTCCCTTTTGCGATCCTCGTCACTTTCCACAGACTTTTTTTCAAGCTCGTAGCTCATCTCTCCCTTCAAGGGTATTACTTTCAATTCCTCCGCGCTGAGCTTTTTCACGTGGTCTTCGGGATTCTCTTTCTTTAGATGTTCCTCGGTAAAGGCCTTTAATCTACTCGCAAACTTTTCGTTCAAACGGGGTCCGAATAGAAGGCCGAAAGCATTGTAAGCGTTCTCTACGTTGAGAAACTGGGCGACATCACCGTCAGCAAAATCCGTCGCGTTGGCCTTAATTTTATCTAGAAACATGGTGATTATCTGATCGTCATTTATAGCTCGCTTAATATCTGCGTACTCATCGTTCAGAAATTGAAAGTCCGTTTCTTGCGCCTCATCTAGACTTCTCTCTTTTTTCTCCTTCTCCTTTTTGATCCTCTCGTTGTCCGGTCGCTGATCCAGTACCTCCTCCATGATATCGCTGATGATCGTTAGAATGCTCGGCAAATTCTTGTTGTCTTTAATCTTCGTAGCTCTACCTTCGCGGAATCTGCCAATGCTGATACCCACTTCACCATTGCCATAACCCTTTAACTTTAGGAAACCTAGATCTACCTGAAACTTGTCCTCCATCGCTGTCTTGTACCAGTCTAAGAAAACATTTTCCATGGATTCCTTTCTTGTCAGTAGTTCCTTTTCAAAATCGCTCGTAGACATGCCGAAGAAATTTTGTACTTCGGTTTCTGTCGATCTGCCAAGGAAACCGAGACCAGGAATCGAGGGCAAGGACGGCAAGCCGATCAAAGACGGCACAGTGCTGGTGATTACTGGCCAGATAAAAATGCCCATGCATCTGATGAAGCTCAAACTAACTATACATTGAACTACCTGGTTCAGAAAACCGCGATTGGCAGTACGCTCGTCCAGATCCTCCACGAGCTTCAAAATCTCATATTGATCGGCGGTTAAAGAATTTCTGATTGTAGAATTTAAGGTATCCACGAAATATATCTTCGGATCTTCCTCGGGATTGTTTTCTAAAATTTTCCTAGATTTGGAAATGTTAACTAGAAGCTGAAGAAAGTCGGATTCCGTGATGTTCGGGAACGTGCTGTCCATTGTCGTCTCCGAAGTTCGTTTCGTTTCTTCGTCAGTCCCGTAATAAGAATTTAATAACTGATTGGTACTTCTTCGTTTTCTTTCATATTTCTTCGACGATGCGCCCGAGAAAACGGACTCTGGCAATGAACTTCGCCGCTGTTCAAGATCAGACAACTGGACTCTCTCCTTGGAGATATCTATGAGGATGTTCGACGGTTGTCCAAGATATCCGGGGACGATTCCTTGCTCGTCTGAAAGGTAAATAATCAACAATTAAAAACTGAACTATTAAAAAAACAAACCAGTCTGCGTTTGACAGATAAGACTAATTCACCTACTGACGGAGTATTCGTAGCCCTCGATTGTCCACTTATCTGGTTCGCCTGTTCGATATGCGCTACTTTTGACTGGGTTGTTTGCTCTTGCTGTTTTGATTCTTGCTGCTTCAAGTTCTGCGGTTCTGCATCCGATATAATTGCAAATTGCGGATAATTTAAATCACCAAAGTTAGACAATCCTGGAAACTGAGGAATGTTAGTTTGTATTCCGCCCAGCAATGTAGTGATTTGCGGGAGAGGAAACTGTGGTAGGCTGGGACTCTCGGCAAAAGTACCGGGAATACTTGGGATCTGGCCTGAGATACCAGGAATCTGGCCTATACCGGGAATCTGACCGATACCGGGAATTTGACCGATACCGGGAATTTGACCGATACCGGGAATCTGACCGATACCAGGAAGCTGGCCAATATCCGGAATACCCGGAATCTGACCTCCGCCGGAAATTGGAAGTTGGCCGAGCAGCTCTTCAAAGTTCGGGACATTTGGCAAAAATTGCCTCAAGGTCGGCCAACTGACGTGTTGAGTGCAAGTAACGAAGTTATAGCTCCTCACACATTCTAACATGTTGGTCACATACTCCTGACGTATCGAATCCGGTATCGCTCTCTCCGTTAATCTAACGATATTCATTTCCCGAGCAGTAAGAAGTCTGCCTATTATAGGATTATTAACATTCAGGTAGGAATTCTCCAAACGTGGCGATGAGTTCTTATTCAGCAGATCTTCCAAGGCACTTTCGATTTTATCTTCGATCGTTTCCACGACGGTTCTCGTTGTATTTTCATCAGACGTCTGATTATTCTGCTTCGTTCGCGCTAGAGCCTGAACGTCCCAACGTGCAAAGTTGGGAAAGTTTGGCAATCTCGGGAAGAATTGGGCGATAGTTGGCCAAGCTATGTTCCTCATACATTCGAGAAACGCGTTCTCTTGAACGCAAGTGACCATTCTCTCCACGAAGACTGATCTTGCAGATTCTGGCAAGAGATTTTCCGCGACTTGGACGATATTAACTTGCTGTTCCGTGAAGTAAGTCGACACTTGCGGGAATTTTGAGACCATCGAGACACTCGGTATAGACGGTGTAGATTGCTGCACGGTCTTGAGAATTCTTAAAATTACATCTTCCGGAAGTGCTTCTGAAAAGATGGGATAGAATCTGGTATCTGTGATAGTAATGGTGGCGTCTCCGTGCTGACCGACTTTAACGTCAGTCTCGGAAAATGGCGATGGATCAGTCAGATTTTGAGGTAAAGTGGACTTACTGTTTGTCGCTTGAGGATGTCCTCCGAAATTTGGAAAGCTGGGTAGTCTAGGGAAATATTCCAGTAAACTCGGCCACAGCACGCTCCTCGAACATCCCAGAAAATTGCTCTTGCGAATGCACTCTATCATTTGATTGACGAAAGCAGGACGACTCGCATCAGGTAGTAAGCCCTCTGTTGTCCTAAGTATGTTCAACTGCTGATCGTTAAGTAGATCGCCAAATTGCTGCGTGCTAGTGATCTTGGGGCCTTGATCATCTCGTACATTTGGCGAGGAGAGTTGAATCGATTTGAGAATGTTGAGTATCACCGATTCGGGATGTTCAGTGAATATCGGTACGAATCGAGTACCAGTAACGCTGATCACAGGACTGTCACTCTGCGGAAATTTTGTTCTGGAAATAATCTTCACGTTGGAATCTGTTTGCGATTTGTCCCACTCCTGCTGGTTCTTGGTAGCTTGATGCAAAGCATTCTTATCTTTCAATGATGTTGGATCTTCTTGTCTCGGTGGTTGTTGAGTGGAAGATAAATCGGGAAATTCTGGGAAATTAGGAACGTAAAGAGCGACTGTGGGCCAAATCACGTACCTGGTGCAATTAAGAAAGTTGTTGTTCGCCTGAAGGCAAGACATAACTTGGGCAACGAAAGGAGCTCGAGCCGGAGGAGGTATCAAACTCTCCGCAAGTCGCAGTATATTCAATTGTTTTTCAGTGATGGTCGTCAAAACAATCACATTTTCGCTGACAATTAAATGCGAATTTTTTGGTATCCCTCTCAGGGAATTATGTACCTCTGTTAAAATATCCGCGATCTTGTTCTCCAATTCGCTAGATGTTTTGGAAGAAACTTCACCTTGCCGAGATAATAATGTAGAAATCCGACTCGTCGATTCTTCTGGCGTGGAAGTACTAGATTCCGATGGTTTTTCGGTAGTCGGTGGTTTCTCGGTAGTAATACCTCCTCCGAATATTGGAGGGAAAAACGAGGAAAGATCTGGGAATTGAAAGTTCGGCAGATAGCTGAAGAAGTCGGGTAACTGGAAGTTTGGCAGCCAACTGGAAAGATCTGGTAAACTTAGAGTAGGATTAAATTGCTTGACCGTCGGCCAGGTGGAGTATTTAATACAGGTTACATAATTAAATTCCTGAATACATTTAACGGTTTTCTCAACAAATTCTGGACGATACGAAACAGGAACTAATTGTTCAGCCATGTGAATCGATAGTAACTGTTCCGGAGGCAGTACAGCGACATAAGAATCTGGGCTGTAAGCGACAGATAGAGATGGTACTTTTGCTTGCTCTTTCAGGGTATTCTGAAGGATATTCACTATCACCGCTTCCGGCTTGGGCTTGCGCATTCTCGTGGCGTCGGCTTCAATGACTTCCGGAAGTTCGCCCGCAGTACCCACAAAATTGGGAAAGGGAACGATAGGATATTGCGGATACAACGTTATCGGTGGATACCAAGTCTGATAATCCGGGAAAGCCGGCAGCGTCGGATAATATTGCTTCAACATCGGCCAGGCGAAGTACTTGACGCAGCTGAAGTACTCGAACCTGCGTACACAGGAGAACATTCTGTCGGAATATTCGCGACGTAGCTCACCGGGTAGAAGTTTCTCGGCCATCTGTAGAATCTGGAATTGACCGACGGTAAGCAGCGCTTTCAGAGTTTCGTTATTCGGATCGATGAAAGTCGGCGCCAGATCGTAAGTGACCTTCGACTCCAAAGCGCCCTTCAGAATGTTGAAGATAACGAACTCGGGCGTCAGCAGCCTCGGCTGATGAACGCTGCTCTCCGACCTGGCGGACTTGCCCCTGTTACCCTGAAACAAGTCTATCAAGTTTATCTCGATCGGCAGATTGTTCAGAGACTGTTTGACTGCATCCGGAAGATTGTCGAGTACAATGGGCCAGACGAAGATACGCATGCAATTCCAAATACTGAGACCACGGATGCACTCTGCCATATTCTCCGTAAATGATTGCCGCTGCTTCGTTTGCACCAGTTGCTCGGCGCATTTTATTATTTCCAATTGATCTTTAGTCAATTCGGTGGAGTTCAAGCTGGCCGAATACGTTTCATTCGCAGGTGACTCTCGCGTCAGCGCAATATTCTTCAGAGTATCCAGTAATTGATTTTCCGTGAATTTCGGAATGTCAGGAAGTACTTCGATAGCTTGTTCCCTTAAATACTGAAGAAACGTTCTATTCCTGATTTGATCCTGAAGAAACAAGGCTTGATTCTTCCATTTTTGAAAACGATTAGGACTTGCTTCCGTCGTTGAAGATAATTCATCGAGATTCTCAGTCGAAGTATCTTTCGAGTTACTGCTGCGTTGATTGCGAATTTCTTCGTCTTTCTCAGCAGCAACCACGTCGACTTCAAGCGATTTTTCCGAAAGAAGACTCTCTTTGTCAAGTTTTTCTGATTTCCTGGCGTCATTCTCGACAGACTCAAGAGCGTCGTTCCGTATAGATATTAATTTTTGTATTTGACCTTCTACGATCGATTCTTGCTCACGACCAGGCAAATTGCCTTCTTCAGCATTCAGATAGACAGTCGAACTCTTGTATTTGGATTTACCTGGCATATTGGCTAAGTGTCTGTTTTCTCTATTCAAATCTAGAACTCTGTCACCGATTTCGTCATTGTTCGAAGCATCGTCGACGTATTCCTCTTGATCTCTTTCAGTTTCATCCGTTGGAGAAAGTCGCAAACTGCGAAGCTCATTGTGTATGTCCTCATTCATACCCTCAGTATTTTCTATTCGTGTCTCATCCAAATTGTGTCCCGCTAAATTTTCAATCTGTCCTGTTTCTTCCTTATTTAAATCTATTTTTTCCGCCTCTTTCAAACTCGTAATATCTTTCAAATTTTCTTGAAGATTAGAGGAAGTCTCCGACTCTCCTTCTTCCGGCTCCGCCTTATCCTCGTCGTCACTTGGATTCACATCTACGTTTTTTACATCCGCATGCTCGACATCGATCTCGATAGCGTCTTCTTGCGAGTCCGAGCTGTTTTCCGCTACACTATCCGCTATCTTCCGTTGGTCTATTTCTTCGTCGGACTCGACCTGAGCGTCGAATCGTCGAATACCTTCGTCCTTCTGCACATTTTCCTCAACATTTTGCGCGACACTCTCGCCGTCCTGCAACACAGACTTACCGGGAGGGCTCACGTCGTTCCGCCGCCTCTTCTTCGCCACGTTACCTTCATCATCCTCGGTCTGGATATTCTCCTGGGGATCCTCGACGAGTACCTCCTCCGTTTTCCTTCCCTCGCCACCCTCAACACCCTCCTCTCTGTCGTTTTTCTCTTCCACCAAGCTTCCTCGCGCCTGGTCCACATCCTCAGTCGCTTTGTCCGTGGTATCGGGATCAAAGTCACTCACCTCTACCGGTTCCGAAATTTTGCCGTGCACTTGATCTACAGCGATGCCACCGTCATCGTGAGGCACACTCCGCCCTCGTGCGTGAAGGACGCAAAACAGAAGGAGGAAAGCCGAGAGGAGAGTCGAGCGAGGCACGAGCCGGTGGATGCTCGCGGTTGACCGTGGGCGTCGAGAGTTGAGTGCTCTCATGGTCGCGGTCGAGAGGCGAATGTCTCGGCCACTTCTGAGCCGGTCTATGGTCAGCCATGCCACACGCATGGTGATACACATACCATCGTCCAAAGGCATCGCCGGTCGCGGCCAGTTCACGGACGAAGAGGCAAACCTGTAGATGAATAACAGCCAGGCATTTCCATTTTTGCGGTGCCCCTCTACTACGGGGTTGCAAGGTAACGAGCTTCGTAGGTGAGCCGACGAGCCGACCTCGCTGTGGCCGACCGGTTGCGTTTCCTGCGCGGAAATGGCAATGGCATCAGGTCAGGCCATCGATCGCTCAATTTGTCCCAACAGACGATTTAACGTAACGTAATTAATCATGCAAATTAGTCGGTCATACCGTTCGAGCGTTATCGCTATATTTGAGACATTCGAATTACTCGTCGTAAACCCGAGGAAGTTTATTTACCTCGGATCGTTTGACAATTATGATTTATACTCTTAGAACAAGAAGTGAGGAGTAACGTTAGGAGAAGAGTGCGAGATACGCTATAAACATAGCTGAGCGCACGGCACGTACATTTTTGCAGCGCGACTTGTACATACTTGTTAATAGGTGTACCCAGAAGAGAAATAAAATTTGTCGTCCATAATAATAATAATAATAATAATAATAATTAATAATTTAAATTGTAATTAAACTTTATTTTTATTGGAACTTTATTTTTAATACTGTTAAAAAATTTCTGATATATTTCCTCCGAGAAAAAAAAATTCATAACTAATTTATGCAAGTCAATTGCCGACGGATGACTAGCGAATATAATTTCTAGGCAAAAATAAAAAGAGGAAATTATGATTGTGTGTAATATTAATGTGTGGATTATCGCATAAATAGAGAAGCGCAAATAAAGATCGCATAAAGATCGAAGTTTCACGTTTCGTATTTATAATACAGTCTCGCTCGCGCGCTCTTCGCTCGCCGGTGTAAAGGGTTGAATTTTTAGTCCTTGAAGGACTTCGAGACTCCGTAGGAACGGTTAGAAAGAAGGGGTATCCTAGGGCATGCGGCTGGGGAGCGGAGAGCGATGCATTTTTACAGTAAATTTTATTTTCCAAGCACGGCACGATGCTCCCTACTTCTTCCCTCTCTTCTTCGCTCCTTCCGTACTGGATTCACTGCGCAAAGACGATGCAATAAACCTGTATTGCCTTTCTTTAGCGTCTGACTTGCTTACGGTGCGTTCACAACGTTTAGAACGATTTTATCACTTCGTGCAATCATTTCGTGCAATCAGTCCTATTATTATTAACGTTTTTGCCATTAAACATTTTTTATGTTGTCACAGTCGCTCGCCCTTAATTTCCAAAATTGACAGATTGACTTTTTTTCAATGCTGCAAGAAAGACACATGAAAGAATGCGTTGCAATAAATAATGAAAAATTAAAAAAGAATTTCTTCATAATAATTTCATGGATTTTAAAAATATCTCTCATTCTCGTTATTTAAAAGTTATATATACGTTAAAATAACGTGACTAAATAGATGACTAAATAAAGCAGTCTCTATCAATATTATAACAAGCGTATCGAGGTAAACCGCGACGATCATCGACCATGACTTTTCTTTGAGCTACTTGCTAAAGCTGGGTCGTTAATGAATTTTATGACGCATAATATTCCTTGTAATGTCTCGTTATGAGGTCAGTCAGCAGTTAGTTAAGTTAGTTGGAAGCATTAGTGCTGTGCATCATTCGTTGGACTGAAGGATAACTATTTGCAGCGACACTGCACGTACAAGCAACGTTTGTTGACGTTGTCGTTTTCGGAAGATTGACGCGACGAGATCTAGGAGAATGAACAGTAGCACGAAAAGTGCTGATTAAAAAAATATAATATCTGCCTATTCGCAAATAGACTTGCGATTAAAATATATTCCTTGAATCGGGATTATGTAAGTGTACTTGCGTGCGTAGAGGAGAAATTTCATCGGAAAACTGTGAAGCTGTGCGTTCCAACTAAACATATTTCTGCCGTTCAGCCACTCCTTTTCAAGGTGACGGCAACGCGTGAACGGTCGTTGCACGCTGACCGTGACAGTGACGTGACGTAAAAAGTGAAAGATGGTAGGTACGTGTTTTCATTTCTAGATTCTTATCGAAACATATAATAAATTCGAATAAGAAGTCTGAAAAAAAATTGACGACTAAGATCCAGAAAATTTCACGTTAAAGAAAAATTTTTCACAATATCTTCATCGGTCTTAAACGAATGTGGAATAGGCTCGTTAAGATAAAATTTTATTATAAGAAACGGTATGCTAAAAGAATGTTTTCCAACATTAGAATACAGGTCGGCGTTCTCCGGATTCTTCAAAGAGCGCTTCAAAGCTAAAATCGACACCGACGAGGTGGAATTCGAAAGAGGTGCGCAGAAAGTCGATGCGCAACGAGCGGGCAATTCTCTTTCGAGTTCGAACCGCTCGGTTGGACGGAGGGAACCATACGGTTGCTCGTGCGGGTCCGAATAACACCGTATTTCGTGTGGTCCGAGGAGGTCTCGAGAGAAGACAGAGGGAAAAAGGTCGGCCGAAAGAAAAAGATCGTCAGTGTCGATGAATCCGAGTGGTGGTAAACCGGTCTGAGAATGAAGGCGATTGGCCGGATCCTGGCGTATGCGCTATTGGCAGCTGCATTTACGAAAAATGTGCTCGCAATGAGTGCCGCGAATGTCAAATTTTCGCGAGACTACAACAAATTCGCACCGTTCAACATCACAAAACTCGAGTTGGTCTTGAAGTCGCTGAATTTTGACGCCGGGGACCCTCGAAGTATCCTGGACGGCATGTTCAAAAGCGAATCCATGCAAGGTGAGATATAATTCGATTTCTTTTATCTATTAATAAAAATTTATCTATTAATAAAGATGTTATATAAAAAAATGTATGTATGATGTTATAAAATAAGTCATTTTGTAAATTATCAATGTGATTTAAATACTAATCTGCTTTAGTAAAACAATTTATATAATTACTTAACATATTTTATCCTTTTTTTTCTTAAGTTTTATTTCAATTCTGTCTTATATTATAAACCTAATTATTAATTATTAACTAATGTCATATTTTAATTAATAATATAAAAATAATCACAATGTTTATATTTATATTATAACGTTAATGTTAATAATGTGTATATTATATTTGTGTATAATATATTTATATAAATACATTTATCTATGCAGAAACTGAGCGTGAGGAGTCGCGCACTTTTGGGAACAAAAGAGTACAGTTTATGCTGATGCCGATGATGTATAAAATGGGAGTAATGATGACAATGTTAATGGTAATAACGGCAATCTCAGCGAAGGGACTTCTCATAGGTAAGCATCGTAAGCAGAGAAAAGTGTCGCCCGCACAAATGTATAACGGTTTCATGCTGTCTTATGGCTACCTCAACCTGCATACACGATTAGATGATACTGTTGACCCATTTGCAGTATATATATATGAGTTCAGTATTCAAACGAGTGTTAGATTGATACATAAAACTCTCTCGCTACATCCCCGAATGTATTTCTTACAAATAGATAAATTTTTTAACTCAAGAAAATTCCCTTTCCTTCATTTTTTTTTTTCATTAATATTTATAAATCATTTAATTATTATTCATTATTACAAATAATAAAATCTTAATCAATAATAATCATGGTTCTTCGTGATCACTCGTTTCTCGATATCCTATGTGCTTATTCATTAAGTTAAATTAAGATTTATCGCGGTAAAAAGAGATTTATCGTAAAAATAATTTATGACTTCGATGTAAATAGAACGGAAGTGACACTTTGCGTTTCTCTATTTATAGGCGTTATATTGTTAGTGCTCAAACTTAGCACCTTTCTGGCGAAATTGCATTCCGGCTGGCATGCACCGCAACCGTGGTCATCACCGCAACCAGTTCACGTACATGTTCACGGCACTTTTCCGCACGTTCATCCGCAAATGTACCAAAGCTGGGAACCGGCGAGCGGTCCCGCATACGAGGACCCATATTACTACAAGGGATAAAAATCACGTATAAAAATACAAAATATTCCGACCAAGAAGAAGTTTTTGTTGAGAAGCCATAAAGAAAAAAAATATCGTGACAAAGCGAAATAGCTACATTATTGTCGATAAAGGCTACATTATTTGTATGATTTATTTATTTATTTTAAATTTCATCTTTTTCTACGGAAGATATTATTGATCTTCTCTGGGAATCTGGACATTCATATTTGGAGTAACCAAATATCTAGCTATCCAAACGAAATTATCTTTTTTTAAGTATTTTAAGTATCATGAAGTAAAAAGTAAAAGTTGGAATAATAATTTGACAAATATTAAACGTTACACTGTAACATAGCAACTAACTTTCTCGCGTTTTTTACTATAAATTAGTAAAAAACACATACGGATATACCAAAGGAATCTTATAATTTATAATGATATAATGATAATTATATGCAAATATGAAATTATAATTTTATGTATACATGTATATAAAATTGCAAAAAAAAAAATAAGAAACTGTCAATTTCCTGTTAGGAAATACGAGTAGCGTTTTATAACGCAACGAATATAATTATTTAATAATAATTTATAATTTATCTTATAGTATTACATTTATTATACACATATGAGATGTGCCACACAATGTACCTTCAAAATACGTAAAGGAATCAGATAATGTCCTATGCACATCGCATAGTGAATTAAGAAAAATTATAATTTTTCAATCATTATCTTTATCAAATCGTAATCATATAGAAAATATTAATTTAATTTACAACTGTGAAAAATATGTATAATGCAAAATCATCATGTCATACCAAAACAAAAAGTATTTGTATCTGTATATATTTAAGAATTTACCATACGTACCTCATGATATTAATAAGAATATATTTATCGTTTACACCACAACATGATGGGTTCTCCGTGATTTTTTATGTATTACTATATTTATAAATTATTTGTATTTTTTTTTCATATTTACGTTTGTCAATAGGTATATAAATATTTTAAAACTTTGTTTTTCATAAGTAAATTAATCAGAAAACTCTTTCGCAGAAATAGAATTTATTAGAAATACGACTTTTAGAAATTCTTATTTGTTCTTAAACTGTTAAAAATTGGAATATTTGTCGGAGTGGCGAGTCACTGAGCAGAAGCATTCACATTACCTGTCGGTTCCGTGGTGTAAATAGCGTTCTCGGTAAACGAGACCCAGTTTTCCCGGCCTAAGGTAACCTGGCGTGGGGTACTTGACGAACAAAAAAAGTAAAATATCTCGGCTGCGCTTCGCGTAACACAGTGCAGTCTACATGGTAAGCGAACAGAAGAACGACGCGTTGCACAGTGCGTATCAAATTGAATATCGAATGAATTAAAGTCTCTCAAAAAGTTTCTATCTCTTTTCCACGTTGGTGAAATGTTCGTTTGATTAACTGTGAGCAGATTACAAGATAGAATCACCAATGACACTTCACAATGAATTAGCGCTAGTGTAACATTAGATGCACGATTATCGTGAAAGTTATATGAGTGTGGACCTAGTAGGGACGATCTATTTGTTTTGACAGAAAATACATTTAAATATAAAGTAAGTTGTGACACACCGTTCGAACCGTTTGTAGAAACCGTTTAATAATAACAGCTGTGAATGTTTTCCGTACGGAATTGTTTGTTAAAAATATGAAAAATATGAAATGTGTTATTTTGTAAATTTACCTTAAATATATATATATATATATATATATATAATATAGATTATTATCAGGAATACATATGATTTATTAAAAAAAAATGTGTAAATTATTTTTACTATATATTTCAGTTAAGAATATTAATATATACTGTAAATTTGAGGATATGAATGGGACAAAGTTATTCGTTTGCAATATCATTATCTGGCTAGTGACGTCATCAAAACTGTTAACGCAAGCCGAAGAAAGGTTGAATTCGCAAATCAGTCTTTGCAACGGTCGAAGTATAAAAGTCTTTCCGGGAATCAAGTTTTTCTTGGAGGGCGGTAAAATCAATATTCACATGAGAGTTCACGAACTATTACAAGGTATTGACAGCACGTAGTATTGTTTGCTCTCGCACTTTACCTTTGAAAGAGGTTAAGATTTCTCTTCTTTAGAGACGGAAGTGCAGACTCCACGAGGCAAGAACAAGGAGAATCCTTTACAGAGACTTGGACTCATAATGATGATGACGCCGCTTATCATGCAGGTTTCTTGTTTATCGTTCTCATTAACGTTTCCCGATGAAAAGCACGATGAAATTCTACGACGATGTCGCTAAAACGTTTCTTTCCAGATACTCTCCTTACCGGGCGCTATAGCAACCATCAAAATGTCACTTTTAAGGAGTATCATAGTGGCGCAATTAGCAATCGCAATAATGATCTACAATTTGATCCAAAGTTCGCAAAACTCGGAAGTGGTGGTGATCCATCAGCCGCATCATCACGCGCACTATTATCACAATTATCCTGATAAAAACGACGATGAGGACGAATGGTTTGGCAGATGAAATAATACGAACGAGCAACGTGACAATAAGAAAATGGCGTGTTCTCATGATGTAGGACTAAGCAATTATGACTTCCATTTTCCAAAGCGACACATTCGAAAGTACGAATGCCATCTGTGATATAGAGATTGTGACGCGCGAATGCAAAACTTAACTTCAATCAAGTATCTCGAAATTATCCACTCCATTTTTATATATAAATTATTAAATTATTCTTTTTCTATATACGTTGTACATATTTTATTTATGTATGTATTTTTGAGACGTATTTTAAGGAAAGAAACTCGTATTTTTCTCCGAAAAAACATACATTCGACTTTGCAACTTTGTTCACTTGTCCGCTTGGTATTAAGCGGCGAAGTGTTGGTCGTAGGCACGACATCAAGATGTCGGCTGACCCACTTTGGCTCTCTTCGGCATAACGGCATTTTGGTCCAGATTCTCGCATTCGCGTGCAGAACACATTCATTCAGGTTCTCCCGTTTCTCTCTCGGTAAATTCGACATCGAAATCGAAATGAGAATTCCACCGCGCTTCTCGCCGGATAAAAAGAGCCTCCGTGGCGGCGGAAAACGCAAACGCGAATGCTTTTGCGCGAGAAGGATTCGCGGGCCGATTGTGCGGCGCAAACACGTCGGAAGCACCGTCAACAAATGAATCGCACCATTCGAGACGTCGATATTCGTGATGCGTATACGTGCCAGAAACCCACCTTCCGCGAGCGGCATTCGTTAGTATGCCACGAGAATCGCCACTCCTAAATCGACACTTCGCAATACAAAATCGGATCGACGTGCCGTTTTCTGTACTACAAAATGCACGACGCGCCACGCGTACACGTCAAATAAGAATTAAACGAATTCGCTTATCGCGGAATGTTCAAACATGAGTAAACAATTCCTCCGCGTTACGTGGGAGAATTTAGCTCTTCTTCGCCAATACGATATATTCCACGATCGAGTTTCTAATTTCCAATCTGTTCCAGATTGCGATGGAAAAGTCGAACGATCGGCGAATATATTAGGATAGGAACTAGAAAAACATTGTACTCGGGCATGAAGCTCGAGTCACGAAATGCTCTTACAAAACGTCTCAATATATCCGTTTCACCGTACGTTCTCGTCATGGAAGTGAGATCTTTTTTTCACATGGTTTGTCGACTTAGTTGTGATATTTGACACTTTCTACATGTCCGATTGTATCGCGCAATTTTAACTAAACGACATCGTCTTCGTCGAGCGTCTCCGTGATTGTTGCTCATCGTGACCAGAAGTTTATAACGGTGCCACTTTCGATGACCACGCGATTTCTAATCTCGGGTCCAGCGCGAGTCCAGCGCGTCATATATCAAGATGAAATTTTCGAGGCATAATTTCCGAATCGATGCGAATCGCCGCCAACGGCCCTGACCCCGATTCCCATTTTACCGTGTTGTTCCATTTTTACGTACGATAACTCAAAAGACGAGAGAAAAACATTCTCCGGACTTTCCGGATATTTTATCAAGATCACCTTTCACGATTTCGTTAGCGATTTATTTCAATCGAGGCAAATTAGCTGGTAACGGAGATTTTCTAGAATATGTCACACGCCTCGCACAATGGCGTTTAAAGTCGTAGGATTTTTGCTGGCATTACTCGGTGTCCGATATTCGCTGACCTATGCGCATCGAACGGGCATTAATTTATTATAATCCCGCATCGTCCAGCACTCCTACGAGCGCCCATTTCTTAACGAGAAACAACCATCGTTCTAAGTGTGAGAAAATAAAACGAAAAGGTCATCTAATAAATACAAACTTGTCGTGATCAATGTAAATGTCTTCCCACGTCGTGCCTGTTAATGTCCGTCAGAGAAAAAAGCTTTAATCACTCTCGCGATGTCATCTGCGTCAGTAACAATTTAAATTAATCTCATGCGGTGAATTCCAATTGATGTGATGTATCGCTTGATAAAATTGAAGTAATAACTTACTTGCAAAAGAGATTTGACTTTTGTTAATAAAATATTAATCATTCTGCCGTAATATTAGATTGTACTTTCAAGACAAAGAAGCTGTAAAATGTCTGAAAAAAAAATAGAAAATCGTGTTAAGTAAGAGGTAAGAAAAAAGTTACATTGTGCCTACAGAATGAACTTGCGCGAAGACTTTAGATAAATATATTTACCTGCTTTTCCTGTCACTCGTAACTCTTTCAAAACTGTCGGTGGAATCTGACACTATGTCAGCACAATATAAAATTTTATAGCGCGGAATGCAACAACGACACATTTCATTTCCACGACGATAGACGACCGATTAAATGATTCTCGCGCAATTATTTTCCAGCCGGGTAACGCGAAATGTGTGATGGCGACTGCTCGCCAGGAAAAACATCCCGATTTTTCCCTCTCGTCCCCTTTCACGCTTTCCTCTTCTCTCTCGTCGCAAGATCGCTTCATAAGATAATCCGCGAAGAAGACGAGAATGTTTTTCTCGTCGTTTGTTACGTCATCGCCGGCACGCTCGGAGGACTCGCTCGTGCCGTCGTTCAGTCGCGCGAACTCGGAGCCGCAGGGATGTCGTCCTTCGTGGTGAGGATCCAAGGCCGGCGAAGGAAAATACTCGTTATCACATCGCAGATAAAGCAGACGCGATTTTCAGTTGCAGAGGAGATGGTGCGATCTTCTGTACTTGCTGTGCTATCTGGTCGCGCAGCATCACGCCGTCGCGGACGAGATCAGGCCTTACGAGTTCTCCTTCAACATCGTCGACTTTCAACACAGATTCGAGAAGAAAGGTATACCGATCGAGAAACATCGGAAGAAAGAAAGAGAGAGAGAGAGAGAGAGAGAGAGAGAGAGAGAGAGTCTTTGTTTATCAATAAATAAGTAAATTGTTGAGTAATCCTCGTCAAATCATAATAATTGTTACATTGTTGCTCGTTTCTTCATCGAGATATCGAGGGTCTCATTACCGGGGAATACGGCTTTATCACGGCGGATGGTGTTTACCACGAAACTGGATACAGGACGGACAAAAATGGGGACTTTATTATCACGAGACAAAGAAACCGGAAAATAACGAGTTGTGAGTTGTGCGCGCCTATTAAAACAATAAACCTAAATTTCATATATCCCGGTTGCTCTAAATAAACGTTTTGTCTTGGCTCAACAAGTGAAGGACGCGCAGGAGATATTCAAGGATAGGCCGGAAGCAGCGAAGAAATTAATCGAAGCCGTGATGAAGGCCTGCGGTGGCTGCAAGATACCAATAAAGCAAGAGGACAATCGGCCGAAACCTACGGAGTCGCCGCTGCAGAAGAAGATGGACCCCATATTGAAGCAGATGATGAAGATACTGACAGGTAAGTAAGGCAAAAATGTATCTAATCGCGGTAAACAAGATATTAGACTTATTTTATTCGGGCTCTTCAATTTTGCAGCCAACACGTCGAAGAGCTTTTCCGAAGAGAAAAGTAAAATCATTAAAAAGGAAAACGTCACGAAAGACATCACGAAAAGTATGGTGCGAGCCGCGAAGAAGTTGCTGTCCGAAGAAGATAAAGTGGACGATCGAGTCCTGGAGAAAATGGCGAACGATCTGTTCTATCGGTTCAACTACACGATAACGTCGCACGGCCACCACGAGGACGGCTATCGCGACGGAAGGAAAGACGGTAGCTATCGTTCGCAAAACGAAAATGGCATCGACACGCAAGTGAGATATCTGTCGAACGAATTCGGACATCAGCCCAACGTCACGTTCATTCCGCAGACGAACGCGGCCGACGAAGCTCACGTTCTCAAGGGATACTCATTTCGTTGGTATTGGTCGTAAGCTCGCGATTTCTCATATCGACTTTATTTTAACTGAGATTTGTTAAAAATAAAATATGCTAACGCTTATTTAAATAATACTCGAACCGCGTCTAGAGGTTTGCAATTTTTGAAATTAATTATCTTTAAGAATAAAAAATATACGCGTATGCAAGAAAGTGAATGATTTACCGAGATAAAAATAGTTTATTACAAATTATGTAAATTTTATTCTAAAACAATTTTTCTTCAAAACCCCAATTGTGTTTATTATATTTTAATGATATCTCATAGACATGGGTTTTTTTAAATAATATTAATTAACATGCACTTGTAAGCGTACGATTTAGATTAAGTTATGTGTTACAAATTCAAAAATAAATGAAAGAATTATGATAAACATTTTGTTTAATTCATGTGATTTGTTTAATTCATGTGATTTAACTGAAACTTTCGATGCAGATAAGATAGATATATAAGATAGATTGTAGTACACCTAGTCTTTAGTTTCTTAACGGAAATGAAAGCGGTGCGAAAAAATGTAGCCAAACCAGTAAAATTGGCCCGCCTAATCTGCAATTAAGGATACCATTAAATTTATACAATTTTAAATTTTTTTACGCAAAACAGTTAACGTTCTTTGTGTTTTCAATTACGTAAATACAAACAATATAAATATTGTTTATAAATAGTATATAACAAAAAATTTTTATTAATACATCGAAGACTAGATATTCAAAGATTATAAAAACAATTCGATTTATGTGAAGACATAGTAAACTGTGATAAAACCGTCACATAAATAATAGAAGATAACGGTGCCGATAGTAAAACTCACAATATTAGCATTTCTGTTCTACAAATATTATACTCTTCACTTGGCTCGTCCTTTTTCTCAAGTTACAGGTGTGCAGGTGTAGAGATGCTAGTTTTCTCTGTGATAAAAGAAAAAAACTCTTAAAAATAAACGTATTAAATGGCTAGGTGCAGAGACCTTTAGGCGGACAAGTCGTATTTTGTTTCGTTTATGACAGCTTTCATGTGATCTCGTATGCGCAACTTATATCGTAAGCGGTGATATTCGCACATCAGATACGGCTATTACATCGTATATAATCGACGATTAAGACGACGCGGACAAAATACGAAAAGGGCGAATGTAATTGTATAGTGAAAGGTAAGGCGAAAATTCCCCGGATGATCGATGTATAATTCACGAAACCTGGCGCCTACGCGTACCGGGAATTGTGTTAATTAACAATACAAAAAAAGCTGTTGAGACAAGTTGTGACAGTCGGCGTAGTCACGCGTGCGCACGTGACTATGAAACTCCGAACTTTCGAAAAGGAGCACCATTCTTATGGTGATCGAATGAACACCAAGTGATACTTCAATCTCGTCAGTAAAAGGCCTGTAAGCGAAATAAACTTAAACAAACGGTATTATCGCACCCGAGGTAATTAAATGTGATAAATCAAACGGATTAAACTTAACGAGAGCGGTATTAAATATTCGGATAATTCAGAAATATTTAGAAATAAATTGAACACTCGCAATCGTTTTTTTTTTTTTTTTTGAGAACATCGATTTCACTGCGATTTGATATCTCGTCTTTCTTGAAACAACGATAAAAATCAGAATTAGGTTAGTATCGTGTTGTCGCTCAAGTGGAATTTTTGTCTGCGGTCCACGTACTGTTAAATGCGTGTGCCAAGTCGTTCGAATAGACTACTTTAAAATCCACATATAATTCGCCATCACGTATAATTCAAATTTTGTTCAATTTTTAAAAAACTGATCGTTTGAAAAAACTAAAGCGCTTCATAAATTTTTCCAATTGAAAAGAGAAAGTATCTCAATCGTGTTCTTTTTATCGTACTTATTTTTACGTTACAATTTTAAAAAGATAAAAATCAACTAAGAAAAATTAAAAGGAGACGAACCAGAGAAGAAACGAGCAAAAATGGAAAGAAGAGAAATGGGAGTTTCTCTCTCGGATATGATAACGAGAATGAAAGTTGTGATTTGAAAATCGTTGCCACATGATGAAATATTTTCGAAGCCTGTATATTAGCGGTATATGGTGTCGTATGGAAGCGACACCATACCCAATTCGGTTCCATTCGATAATTTGCGAACCCGCAGTTTCCTCCGGAGCGACACCGTAGCGCCCACAAAAGTCCACCATGGTGGAGGGGTACCCGGTAGACTCATATGAAACCAAACCCACTATTGGCGGAAGTTGGGATGGAAGGGACACCAGTCTCATATATGTCCGACCACGCACGCTCCACAACCACTTCGAGCCTGTGACACGCGGTCCAAGGCCACGGTTGACGGTCAAGATCAAGGAAAAAAAAAAAAAAAGAAAAAAAAGAACTTAGCAACGACGACGAGGGTGGACGGACGTGGTCGTCAGGGAAGCTATCGCGCGATTTTCGTGGTGATAACGTGGTGCTCCTCGATCGGTGAAGCTCGACGATTTTTCGGTGAAGAGGCCAGGTAATCATGAGGATAATCACGCCGATTTTCTTGCTCCTCGGACTCGCTTTGTACGCCTGTTGCGCGACGACGGAGGAGAACAGTTACGAGGAGGACAGCGTCGGTATTCTGGAGTGCATGTTCACGGACAACGCCGGAAATTGCATCAGGACAAGACTGGCCCGTGACTTGGACCGGATCGAATTGGAAGTTATTGGGAAGAAGAGCGAACCGTCAATGAGCGCGGTGGTTGAACAAGCTGGCAACATCATCGCGGAGGTCGTCGACGGTCTGCAGGAGGACGGCGCGGAGGAAATCAGGGGGAGAATCGAGGAAGACGATGCTCAGGGTAACATAGGTGAGAATCGAATAACAGTCAACGATAATCGTTGCGTGAACAAACAAAGAGATAATTTTAATTTTTTATAATTCTTGGGCATATTATATTTCTTCAATAATTATCTCTTCTTTTTCATTAAGCGGCCATTTCGACCGTTTAAAAAAAATTTTTTTATCATTTTGCTAATGCCTAGCAACGTGCATGTAACTTTCTATTATTCTTCTTTTTAAAATTACAATACAAACTTTTACTGACTTCCTAACTATATATAAGACTGAATAGTGTAAGTCACTGAATAGTGTGTCAGCGTAATTAAGCTGTCGCAGATCGAGATCGACGACTTCGCGATTTAGATTTCTAATCGCGATGAGACGGCACGTGGAAAACGCGTGTATGATCGTCCACGCACGTCGGATCCTCTTTCGCTCTTCCCGAGAAGCACCGTTGGACAAAGTCGGTTAACTCTTTCCGAACCTGTAACTCACTCCTTTATTGGAGATGTAATGACAGGAAGTCAGTTCATCTGAGTGCACTGAAAATTACTGTACCGATTTTCTTCTCCGTTATCTGATTTTCCTAGTTTTTCCGAAACAATGTCATTGTAGTCAGGGTTTAAGTAAAATGAGGAAACGGACGTGAGAATTGGAATAATTTTCATGTAGATCTTATTTATGACAATTAACTTTTACGTGCAATTTTCCTTTATCAGCTTCAATATTGCAAGATAATAAAAACCATCACGTACATCACATTATGTAAAAAAATATTCTAAATAATAATTGATCGGTTATAAATCAATCGACAATCACGAATATACCATTCATTCAACGTGACGGATAAAAAAAGGAGGTGGTATCGACGATCGTGAATGGGATCTATGAATGTTCAACAAGTGTATGTACCTCAAATCGAAACAAAAGAAGCAAATTGTATTGACAAGACGAGCGGGTTCAAGGGGAATCACGATTAAGATGAACGAACTTTCTTCGTCGTTTTTTTTGTATAACCCAGCGCATAAAATCGGTGCTAAAATTATAGTTAACGCCACAGAGAGGGGCGAGGCAAACCGCAAATTAACACGCGATCGATCCCACAAAATTCCCGTCTCGGTCAACAGCGAGCTGCTTAAATATCTTGAAACTCGCACGCGATTGTGCTCGTGCGCGCGTGTCGCCGACGTTCGTAACGCATTTTACGCCACTAATTTAATGCCACGACTTAGGTAAATCGACGGTAACGGTACCGATTGCATCACTCGCCATTTTCTCGGCTATTTTTTCCAGCAAAAGTCAACAGACGCGAATCATGGGAGGAAGAAGGAGAAAAGAAGAATAGATGTTCGATCGGCGAACGTTAATTTTAAATTCGTGAGAATGGAATGGTCGTTACGTTAAAATCATTCTTAACGAGATATTAATCGTTGGAGCTACCAAAAAAAAAAAAAAAAAAAAATATCCGAATGAACGATAACGGTACCACGAATATTATCTTCGTTATCTTTTAGAGCGTACAAAAAACTGTACGGTACTTCCGAGTAAATCGCCGACGACAATTGAGTAATTCGACAGGCATTACGCCTAATTCGCTACGATTCATAT